GTATAGTAAAATAAATACATTGACTAAAATGCTGTCTATGTTTGCTTCATTCAGCCCTCACTTTTCTCCTCTTTTGCCAGTCTCTTTCCCTCAACCACTTGTTTCACTTACTATAAGTGTGTGTTTGTGTCCTTTCACATTTACCAGCAAGCAGACAGTAGAATAGTGTAGAAAATCAGGCAAACTCTTGCATGTATGAATCAGAGCGTTTTGATGTGATACCGGGACAAAATGACCACAGAGCACCTTTGAGTGTCAGTAATAGATTGCTTAGATTTAGCTTTGGTCAGCATATTTATCTTGTGTAAAGATATAAACAAACAAAATTATTTGTATACTTGGGCTAAAGGCAGATATGTGCTCTCACTGATGACGTTATATGAATACATATAACGTCATCAGTGAGAGCACATATCTGCCTTTAGCCCAAGTATACAAATAATTTTGTTTGTTTATATCTTTACACAAGATAAATATGCTGACCAANAGCAATTTATAAATGGCAAACAGTGTAAATAACTATAGAAATCTTTACCTAAATGTAAATAATAAACGTTGGGTCCAGTCATTTCTCTTTGACTGTTTTTAAGTAAACAATTGATAGAAATAAATATATATTTACATTATATTGTCTATTTATATCAATGAGGAACAACTGGATATTAGAAACATCCCTTCAGCAAAATAGTTATAAATAATAAGTTAAAGTTAAAAGGGGACTATCATGCAAAATGCACTTTTGTACGTCTTTTATACATGAATATGTGTCCCCGGTGTGTCGGGGAACTCACCAAGTGTCAGAAAACACAACCCTCTCTCTTTTCCTCCATACCCAAATCTCTAAAAACGGGGCTGCAACGAATCTGATACAGACCGATACAGATTTAAAATTCTTCTGACGTCAGAAACGGGGAGCTCCGCCTATATGGGCAACTCTCCACCTATCCGGGGAATGAGAGGTTGCCGTGGCATGGTAACAGCATGGTAACAGCATGGTAACAGCATGGTAACATGATGCTCGTGCCTCGCCCCCCTCCTTTGCAGGGGGGCGTGGTCAGGTGCAGCTCATTTGCCACAGAATCAGCCCTTGCAAAAACAGAGCTGGAATACAGCAAATAGAGCGAAATTAGGCATGGCTAAAATGCATGATATGTTTGGTATTTTGAAAAAAAACCTTCACAGACATGTTTTATATAGGTATGGCCCTACAATATATTATTCAAATATAGCATGATAGGTCCACTTTAACTAATAGATTTTTTGAGGTCTTTCTTTGAGCTGGCTAAAGTACATTGTTTGCTGCCCCTGTTCAAACCAGGTTATTGTTCTATCTTGTTACTGTTGCTGCTAAAACAACTGGGGATCAATAAACGTTTATCTTATCTTATTTCCAACATTCTGAAAGATCCCTTTAAGATAAAAAATAGTATTTTACTCCTGATCTTAGTTTTACTTCCATGTTCCTTTGGATGTTAGCATAGCTTTGGCCTGGTATTATATATTCATAATGGCCTTGAACAAGTGCTTTATTTCCCTTCAGATTGTGAATGGATACTTTGTGCACTTCTTCGCTCCTCCTGACTTGCCCAGAGTCCCAAAGAATGTGGTGTTTGTGATTGACAGGAGTGGATCAATGGGTGGACAAAAGATGACACAGGTAAAATGCTTTTTGTGTAAGTGAAATCCATATTGTATTCATCACTGTTTTGTATATCTCCATATGTTCATTTTGGTTCCTTTGCAGACCCGCGATGCACTGGTTGCCATTCTGAAAGACCTCCACGAAGAGGACCACTTTGCTCTTATCCTGTTTGACAATGAAATTATCACCTGGAAGAACTATCTTACCAAAGCTACACAGACAAATGTGACTGAAGCCATTGCCTACGTCAAGAAGATAAGAGACAATGGATGTAAGAAGAAAACATGTGGTACCAACTTGTATGCCATATTTGATGTGCACTTCCTAATCAGATTAATTTAAAGGTCCCATGTCATGGCCATTTCTACTGATCATAATTCCATTGTTGAGGTCTACTAGAATAGATTTACATTGTGCAATATTCCAAAATCACATTAGTTTCTCATACAGCATCTCTGTAAAGTATGTGTATTCACTCTGTCCTAATCGGCTTGTTGGAGCTCCTGCACCCCCTCCCTGTGAGCCCAGTGTGCTCTGATTGGTCAGCTCGCCCACTCTGTTCTGATGAGTCCACCACCGTTACAGCGGAAAATCAGTGATTAGGTGTTACAATGGCGTTAGCAACCTGAAAATGACACCAGTAATGACAAACAGATGAGAATGCTGCGTGGGGTCTGGGTGCCGTGTTGGCGGGACGTTGCGCGGCTCGCTGCTGTGAGGAGGGGACAGTGTGAGCTCTATTACTGGTGTTGTTTCCTGGTTGCTGCGTGGGGTCTGCGAGCGCAGCTCAATGTAAGCGCTCCTTCCTCGACTTAGGTGTATGATAAAAGGCTACTGAGGTACAGTCCCTTGTCACATCTCGATGTGATAGCAACAAGCGCGCGCACTATCGTCTCGCGTGTAACGCAGCCCCTTACATTTTTATTCCAAACACATTCAGCAACTGCAGGGGACTGTAACACGTCATATTCGTGGTCTCACACTAAGACTTCTGATGACTGTTTACTATGATACTCGTTTAACTATATATGGTGCTTCTATCCAATGAGTCGTTTCCATGCTATAAACTTCTCATTAAATCCTTTCTCTCCAGTAGAAGTAACCATACCCACAAAAAACTTTCTTACCCCAAAGTGAAACGACTGTAGGGATTAAAGTTACTTCTTCACCCGAATACGTCTCCACGCTGTCATTAGAAGTACCATCATTAGAAGTCTTAGTTCTGTAGAATGGCCGACAACCCGTAGGGCAGTCAGTCATTTTCATCTAGTCCATAGACATGAGGAAAGACCGTCCCAAGTAAATAGAAAGAAAGACAAGAGGGTCACGTAAAAGTCGCACGGGAGCTCCATGTCGCCGGTAACTCATAGCCACCCGACTTTCTTTATTCATGTTACTCGTCCATTTGCTACTTGTAAGGCGACTCTATTTACATATTTGCGTTCCTTCGTTCTCATTGTTAGGAGTTATCTTATCATATCCGCTCAACAACGATCGTTGTCAAATACACGAAGCAACTCTTAGAATCTTACTCTACTCGGTTCATTTCTGACGACGCAGTCTGAGTGAAATTTCCGTCTGTCAGCTCACTAGCTACCACCG